TGTTTTATTATTTTTGAATCGATGTTAATTGATTCAACTGCAGAAGTTATTAAATTATATTATTCATAATTCATATAAATGGGTTCTATACTATCAGAAATAATTATAAAACTTTGAAAATACAGGATATGTTACTAGTTAAAGTATGAGATTGTCAGCAATTATACTGGATGGAGTTTCTCGAGTATAAACTTCCGGTTTTCTCAAGTCACGTTGACATATCTAGAACACAGTGTGGTTATACCTAGCAAGAAACTTCCAGAATAACTTGTTAATGTCATAATTTTCTTGTGGGCATCGTCATTTCTTCAAGACGAATGCCAAATGCCTAGATCCAGACCACGATTACAACACGAAAATTCTTATCTAATCATTTATGATTCTTTTCTAATATCATTCCACGATTTGTAGCTTTGAACCTAAGAACCAATCGATCGTTAGAATATACATCGCTTTATTTCTTCTGTCACGAATTTATTCATCTGTTTAAACAGTTCGTTGACAGTAACCGACCTCAAATTCTTCCTTCGATCAGCTTAGTCTTTACGTCATGTACACTTTTTTTTTGGCTGTCGTAATCACGTTTATATCTTATTAGTTATAAAAATTGATAACATATTTTATTATTTTAAACCTCACGATGATTTGGTTACATAAATTATTTTTGGTTCGAGTAATGGGAAATTTCCGTACCAGTATGTCAGGTTGGTACTAATGATTCTAGCTTCACTTTAGTATTTGCATATGAGAAACACAGATATTTTCATGCCTTTGGGTTTATGACCCCGATTTGGTCTGTCTTTATTCTAAATGTTGTCAATGTGGAGTCCACTCGGAAGACGTAAACGTACATGGGAGAATAATATTAAAATGTTTCTTAGGGAGATATGGTATAGGGCTGTGGAATGAATTAATCTATTGAATAAAAATTTACTTGGATATTATCCATCGTCTAGTAAATATAAAACGTAAAACGACGTTTCGGAGATGGGACTCTATCTCCGTCTTCAGGTTCCTACACAGTTGGGCCCACTAGATAGAGCTAATCCCTATCTCCGGACTTCTTGGATATTATCCATCGTCTAGTAAATATAAAACGACGTTTCGGAGATGGGACTCTATCTCCGTCTTCAGGTTCCTACACAGTTGGGCCCACTAGATAGAGCTAATCCCCATCTCCGAAACGTCGTTTTACGTTCTATATTTACTAGACGATGGATAATATCCAAGGAAAAAGTCCGGAGATAGGGATTAGCTCTATCTAGTGGGCCCAACTGTGTAGGAACCTGAAGACGGAGATAGAGTCCCATCTCCGAAACGTCGTTTTACGTTTTATATTTACTAGACGATGGATAATATCCAAGTAAATTTTTATTCAATTGACTCTTTACCATCGTCAAGAAGTTTTAGATTTGAATTAATCTATTTCGGAATAGTAACCTGTGGGGATTTTGTGAACACGGTAATGAACATGTTTTATAAAAGACGGGGAATTTATTGACCGGTTCAGACCAGAGTTTTTCTTCTCAAAAAGGATTTTGCTTCGTGGAGTTAATTCATTTATGCACTGTTACGTTTCTGGTATTACAGCTGTGTTGCTTTGTAATTGTATTCATTCCAAATTATACTATATTGTGGCGTAACGTTTTGTTAAACATGCTGTCACGTTGAATTGGAACTTTCTAGCATCTGTAATGTCGTGAGTATGGGAAATCATTTGAGCTTCCGGACAGAAGACGAACTTTTGCAACCAAACCCGTTAGAGGTTTAAAATTTCCGGATTCTGCATTTGAGATGAGATTCTATTAACTGTTACTATGATTGTAGATAATTAGTTTATATTGTAATATTTTACGACTGCTAATTGTAAAGTAAGGATTTAATTGTACTGTGAAGAATGTCTGAATTAATGACCGTATTTAAATATATGTTTTCGGGGGATTTGAAACAGGTTAATTAACCTTAATTAATGAGAGTCAGGTAAGTTTCTTCAGAAGGTAAATATGATCACAATACAATCATCTCAGCAAGTTAGCTTGGTTTTAACACGCATTTACTGATATCACATCCATTTTTTGTCTCTCAAGGCAAAAGTATGCATATTTCTTAATTTTTTTGCAGACGAAATATTCAAATGTGGAGTTAAAATCCATAGGACCGCCATTGATATATTAATTAATTTTAGTTTTATTATATTATATTTTATTTTCAATCCTCAAAGGAAGTGTTAAATATAGAATAAAATATGTGCACCGATTATGGAGAAATGTTGGAATAAATTCGTAATTTTTAAAATAAAATAATAAAATTATTACTTTATAAGGATCGAGATGAAATTTACGGTACAACTCAGGCCAGATGAGAAACGTAATTGTACGGAATAAACAGAATTTAAATTCGACAGTCGTTGGTTTTAAACCTTGTTCCATTTTCCTTGGACGTCAGATCCTAGCTCAAATATTAGCTGGGTGTCATATCCACCCCGAATACGTGCACGTCATGCCCAAGCAGAGATACGGTTTAAAGTAGAGAGACGAACGGTGTATAGAAGGAAATGAAGATAATTGTCTTTATAATTGTGTGAAGTTGTGTGTTTACTTTGCAGTACGATCTGAATTAATTATAAGATATTATTTAGGCCAGCGTTGGGTTTTTAAAAATTTGATGTCGATTTTTTTTACCGTCATATCATCATCTAGATCTCGAAAGATTAATTTTAAATTCAAGATTGGAAGTCTGAAACAACATTTATACGTCCGAAAAAGTAAGTAGCATTATTATTATTATTATTATTTAGTGTTCTGTCTGACGACAGGTCCATATGAACAGGATCCTTCCATCCTTTTCTCGGACTGGGACCTGTTCATATACGTTCTTGGCAGAGATGATCAGAAGTG